TAAAAATGTAATTAAGTAAAAATTATGATAAAAGAACTAATAATAGGAAGTTTATAGTATTGAAGTAACAATAATGAAACAGCTTTTACATGTTGAACATTTGATGGCCCAATGATTACATGACAATTTTTCAATGCTCGAAGATTTTATTCTTGAAACGATGAAAGTAATTTATAATCAGGGTGGCGACTTTTACAGTGATTAATTCAAATATCGATCAAAAGATGGAAAACTCAAACAAGTAGAAAATTCGAGATAAAATAAAAAAGTTGTTAGAACAAGTAGCTTATGTTATATTTGGCGCATAAACACACCTAAACAGAAATTTACATGGCATTCAAATGGGAAAACAAGTTATTATTGGCGATTAGATTAATTTTTGGTATCTGAGTTGCATATGCTAACGTCATTACAAAAGAATTTTCACCGATATAAAACAGATCACTCTTTTAGTAACTTTAACAATAAATGGATTAATTGCAATGACAAAAGGGCCTGGCTATTTTAAATTGAACATTTTCTTTATTACTAGATGAAAGTTACCAAAATGTTCAAATAAAAGAACTATCTATTCTCAATGAGATAATATAGCATGCAATCCAAATTACTCTATGGGGGTTTAAGGGAAGCCTAAGAAATGAACAATTCGATTGCAGTCAAAAGAAGATATAATTTGAAAACGAAAATGAGTTAAATTTGATTGAAAGAAATAAACAAATTAGAGAAAATACTAATCTAGCCAACAGAACAAAACAATGAATAAATTATAAGAAATTGATATTTAAAAAGCAAGACTTGAAAAAATTTATGAATACCGTGGTAAATGGCTCGATTTTGAGAGCACGTGTATTCCATGTCAAAATTGAAAAATAGTAATACTATTTCAAATAGAAAAAGAAGCATGCGGAAAAATTGTACAAAGTTAAAATTAAGAAAATAATGAAATTACAGACGCAAAACAAATATTAAAGAAGAAGAAAAATCATTTTTTGAAAATTTATTACAAATACAGAGCCCACAAAAATCAAATCTAAATTTTTTTACTACGTACCATTAATATCATTAAATGAAAGAAAAGTGCATATGTAAGATATTAACATGAATATGAATGTAAAAATAGCTTTATCAGAAATGAAAAAAACCAAAAATCCAGGATCTGATTGGCTTTAAACCGTCGAGTTTTTATAAGACATTTTGATAGCATCAAAAAAATATTTTCTTTATTCGATATAATTACTCTTTTCAATATCAAAAACTAACAACTCTTCAAAGACAAGGATTATATCCCTATTATACCAAGCCAGAAAAAGATCTTACAGATATATCAAACTGGAGGACCAATAAGTTTGCTTAACGTGGATTTATAATTAGCAACAAAACTATTTCTAATTCGCATTCAAAAAAAGTTTATGGCCAACATATATTTTGTTTCAATCAAACAGGTTTCATGAAAAACCGTAAACATTGGTAGAAAACGTAAGGATTTTTTGAAATAATTGGAATTATCTTCAAAAAGGAAACACAAACCAGGTTTATTATTCTTTGCGGATTATGAAAAAGCATTTGATTAGTTTAAATCATCGGGTTTTATCATTAATTAACTCTTCAAAAGTTCAATTTTTGGTAAAGATTTTATACAATGGGTCAACTTTTTTACACTGATACTTCAAGTATTATTGTAAAATAATGGGTCATTTCTCAGAACCTTTTACCATAGAAAAGGGTTGTTCGACAAGGAGATCCTTTATCATCTATCATTATTATCGTCTGTTTAAAATTTATATCCAATTACATAGAAAAAAGATAGTGAAATAAAAGGAATAAAAGTTGAGGACAAAAAGAAATAAACCCAATCCTTCTTTGCAGATGATGCAACTTTTCGTAAACGATGGTTCAGTTAAGTCTTTCGAAAAACTTGTCTATGTGATAACAGAATTTAGTAAAATTTCCGGTTTAAACCTTAATTCAAAGAAATCAACAAATATGCGAGTCGGGTCATTTAAAGATACTAACATAGAATATTGTAAAAATAGAAAATTTAAGTGGACATCTGATTCAGCAAAAACATTTAGGCTTTTTATTTTTCGTCACGATTACAAGAAAAATACAAACATAAATTTAGAACCTAAACTTCAAGATTTTTCAATTGCTTAAAGCAGTTGCAAACACAGAAAGCTTACGTTAATGGGAAAAGTAATAGTGATAAAAACTTTTGCATTGCCAAATTAATATATCCTTTTTCAGTTTTAGCCAACCCATCCAATGATAAGATGAAAGAAATAACTAAGCGATGTTTCACTTTCTATGGGCAGGAAACCAGAAAAAATAAACGCAAAACTTTAAAACTTAATATACAAAAATGGTGGACTAAAAATGATAGACATTACATATTATCTTAATGCAGCAAAAGGCAAGCTGGGTAAAAGGTACATAAACAAGATAATGAGAGTTCATGGAAACTTTTTGTAAAACAACAAGATAAAGCAAAATGGAAATGATTTTATCTTCCAATGTATCTTTCAAAAAATGATATCAATAATTTATAATCCACATAATTCGTGTTCATGAATAATGTTCTTTCGTCTTGGTTTCAATTCAGCATGAGCACAATAAAAACAAAGATAATGTTAAAGACATAGTATGGAATAATTCTAGCATTAAATTCGACAACAAACTGGTTTATTATAAAACATGGGCATGATAAAGTGCATACTTTATATAGACATCTTTATGATTATAGGAGAAAAGCCTTTTATAATATGATGATTTTAAAGAAATTTACGGAATAGAAAATGCTGATTATTTAAGATACTTTATGCTAATAAACAATATACCAAAACAATACCTTGAGATACTAAAAAATAACACAACTTATATGGAAGAACAAGATACGCTTTCTCAATAAAAGTCAAAAATCCAAACAATAAATAAACTTTTAATATAATATCCAACTTGAAAATGATGAGAAGGTAAAAAATAAAAATGAAGAGCAATGGGAAAAAGAATTAGATATAGAATTGAATTGGATTTAAGATATATACTATACCACTACAATGTACTATAGATGTGACATTAAGAAATTTTCAGTATAAGTTCACCCATAGACTTACTGCAACAAACACTATGCTTTTCAAATATAATCTATGCAATTCAATTTTGTTGTGATTTTTGCTGGAGTAGTTTAGAAACACCTTCATCATCTATTTTGGGAATGTAATATTGTGCAAAATTTATGGTCAAAACTTGCATTCCTTTCTTATCCATTAATCTTCATTTTTTCATACAGTAAAGAAACAGTGTTTTTTGGAGAGCTTACAACCAATTATAAATAGTAATGTGTAGTTTATATCATTATTCTAATGAAATATTACATTTTAAAAATGAAATATCAAGGAAGAAAGCCCACTTTTGATATTTTTAAAAACTTTTTGCTGTTAAGGATACAGATTGAAGAAGCAATTGCACTGTCAAATGATAAAATTGAATCGTACAAACAAAAAAATGGAGTAAATTATCGAACACTTTAACAAACAATACTGATGACTAAAACAATTATATTATGTAAATTAAACGTATAAACCATAAAACGTAAAAAATTAAACTGAAACTGATTCACTTGTCTTTTTTTTCCCTGTCTTGTGTGTGTGTGTGTGTTTGTGTGTGTGTGTGTGTGTGTGTGTGTGTGTTTGTTTGTTTGTTTGTTTGTTTAGTGTAAGAATGATAGTTTTTTAAGTAGATTTATTCTTTTTCTTTCTGAATTTTTGAAAGTTTTGTTTTTATTTTTTTTCTGTGTGGAGTTTCTATGTAAAATGTGAATGATTGTGTTTATATGTTTTTGAAAAATAAAATAAATGAAAAAAAAAAAAGAATGTATGTGTATGTATCAGCATTTTATACGTTGTATTTTGTATTGTTTTATAGGATGGCAGACAAATATTATCGACTAGTGACATTTATCGTGAATTTATTCTGAATTTTTGAAGTTTTGTTTTTATTTTTTTTTCTGTGTGGAGTTTCTATGTAAATGTGAATGATTGTGTTTATATGTTTTTGAAAAATAAAATAAATGAAAAAAAAAAAAAAAAAAAAAAAGAATGTATGTGTATGTATATTTTATCGTTGTATTTTGTATTGTTTTATAGGATGGCAGACAAATATTATCGACTAGTGACATTTATCGTGAATATCTGCCCAAAACCCCTACGAGTTTTGTTTATATCTAAGTCAGAACATGATCCAAACCATAGATTTACTAACATCGAGAACTACCTGTATTTTAGAGAGGGGAAATCGAAAATTTACGGAAACGTTTCAGAATAAGTGAAGATCAGTTTGCTCTTATTTATCCAGCTATTCACTCTGTGGATATTAAAACATGGGACGTAACTTTACTGATATTATTGCTCAAAGAGTTATTTCCTAAACAGCTGCAGCAAAATGAAAGAGATTGCCTTCGTTATATTTCTGAAATTAGGAACAGTCTACAACATATTGCAAACATGGAGTTTGTAACTGACGAGAAATTCAATACCTCATGGACATGTCTAAGGGATGCTGTTCTTACTCTAAAACAATCCACCGGAGCATCCGTGCTTGACAATATAGAAGATGAAATTAAATCGGCACTTGTTGATAATATGCCTTCTCTTGGAGATGTTCGTAGTACTTGGCAAAAGTCACTGTACTCTGAACTTCAATTACGATATTCTGATCTAGCAAATGAAGTTAAAATAATGAAAGAAGGGACAATGGAAGCAAAAAAGATTTTAACGAAAGCAACTGTTACGAAGAAAGGGCGCTCGGGTATTATAGTTTTCTGTATATATTCTGTTTGCTGAAAAACAGTTTTTTTTTTCATTCCTTCTTTTTAATAACCAAATTAAATGTACATATAATAGTATTGCTTATATTACTGAAAAATTTAATCTTTAATAGCCACTATAGAAAAACATCCAAAAGTCATTGTATATTAAAACTCTTTGATTTTTTGTTTGTTTCAGGAGTACCCGAAAAAAGAATGAAAATTGTTGATAGAAAAATTGAGCGAATGAAAGGTAAAACATATTCATTTATTACACTTATTGTAAACAAATATAAATAGTATGACTTATTATAATTTATTTATGTTTGTTTAAAGTCACAGCGACATCCGTGGCAAAACGTCTTCATGTTTTCAAAAGCTTAGTACTCGAACTTTGCTGGACAGGTTACCTTTTTGAAAGAGGCAAAATTTCCCTAGACGTAAGTGACAAGAAGTAAGAAACACAGGGCATTTAAAGACGTTTTCGGTAGTTTTTTTGTGCGCATCGTTTTGCGCTTCCAAGAAAGATAAACATGGATAATTACTCTTCAAAAAGAAGGTCAAGTTGAATTGTACTCGGATAACTGTTTAAATTTTGGCTATAAGCAAATAGTGAGTAAATAATACAGAATAGATATTTCTAAATGTTCAGGAGGAGATCGGTTCAAAAGAATAAGAGGTCGTTTAGACAACAGCAGATAAAGCATTAGCTTTAGTACGACAGCATTGATGATGATTTTGCGCGCGTTACCCACCCACTTGTGGTATAGTGACGCGAAAGGGTGTCGACACTTGATTACCGCCAGACAAATGGGCAAAAACGTTTGAAATGATATATTCTAAATATCTTGAATAAAAACAAAAATAATATCTAAGAAATGTTCCGATTTTCATTATTTTCTTTATAAATTTCTGAAAACTTGCTCACTCTTCGGCTATGTTAGTCGAGTGAAGAAATTAAAATGGCCTTATATAACCTGTTTTAAAAACATATTCAGTATCATTTACTTAATATAACATCAAAAGAAATAGAAATTTATATTACAACATCTTTTTGTTGTATATGTGACAATGCATTTAGTATAACACTGATATTTCTTAAGAAAGCGTGGTAACTTTGAGAGTTGACATATGTGGTAACCATGGAAACTGCCCGTTTACAAAAAACTAATACGTCAACATATATTTTTATTTCTATTTTTGAATCTACCATTAAATTTTACTTGATATATTAAAAATGTAGAAAATTATATGAAAGAAATTTCTTGATAGCTTTAATTATTTATAGAACTCATGTTTATTTTTCTCATTTTTTTTGATCAGTTAAAAAGCATGAAAAACTCATTTTTAAAGAAATATGTTCAGATTATCGTTTGCTTTTCACAAAACCCTTAGATAAAGCAAGTTTTCTATAAAAATTATGTTTATTGTGTGTGTAATAAGCTGTACTTATACATTTTTATAACACACTGTTTGGCTATTTTGACACTTTTGAGATATACGGTTACCATGGAAACTGCCATTTTTCAAAAAATCCAACACGTCAACATATATTTTTTTTTTATTTTTGAATTTGTCATTAAATTTTACACAATATTCAAAAAAATTAGAGAATCCTATGAAAGAAATTTTTCAATATCTTTAATTCATTTACAGAATTCATGTTTATTTTTCTCATTTTTTGTTCAGTTATGGAGGATGGAAAACTCATTTTTAATAAAACAATGCTTTTTGTGTGTATTTAGCTATCTTATACATTTTCTATTTGTTATAACACAGTTTGGCTATTTTGACAGTTTTGAGATATACGGTTACCATGAAAACTGCCATTTTACAAAAAATCCAACACGTCAACATATATGTTTCTTTTTATTTTTGAATTTGCCATTAAATTTTACTTACCATACAAAAAAATTAGGAAATTCTATGAATTTCAAAGATTAAAATTTTCATAAAACTGAAGAAAATGTCTTTAGTATGATTTACAGGGGAACTAACTCTGTAACTTGGTTGATAACAAATGAAGATATAATGTACCCATAAATGAGTTATTTCAGACTTGAGGGGTGAAAAGGTGAAAGGTATGAAATATACACATTTTTGATGGGCAAGTGTTTTCTGAAGACCCGGCCACTGATGCTTATCAAATAAATATTTTTTTCCATAAATCATACGCTACACAGTTTCAAATTGTTACGGAATACATCATTATGTATTTTAACTTATGGTCACATATCACACAAATATCAAAGCATAGCTTTTAGAACAATTTAACATTGATGTATATTGCCTAAAACTTTTTCAAAAAAACAAGAATTGATTTAAAAATAAAAATGAATGTTAAAAGTTTTAAAAGTTTTTTTTTAAAACGGAAAAATTTTCTTTTTTAAAAAAAACTCAAAAAGGGACTGTTGAAGAAAACGCTGCAAAGAAAATTTTAAAACACGCCTTTTTAGAGATTTTTAAACAGCTTAACCCATAATCATCGTTTATTGTACCGGGTTTTCAAAAAACTAAAATATAAATGTGACTTGCCGCCTTTCAGGGAAAAAAAGTAGACCCAAAATTACCAATGTTTGAAAAAACCAAACCCCTTTAGAGGGAAAAAATTTGCTCTGAGTGGCCCCGTTTGTCCCCGTTTCGGGGCCGTTTGGGGGTTTTCAACTTTGATTTTCAAAAATTGAAGTGATTGTGGGAAAAAATTTTACAGTATTAAAAGAAAAATGGACGATTAAAGAATTTTTCCCTTTATTTTTTTTCATAAATAAACCCAACCCAAACTGTGAAAGAATGACTAACGTAATTTTAAAAGATGCTATCACATCTTCCGGTTAACATAGATTCTACAGCCCGGGCCCCAAATTAAGTAGCTATGGTTTTTCTTCCATTCTTACCGAAAACAAAAATTTAGTAGAAATTTTTTAAAAAAGTCCAATTTCTCGCTTTAAATTTAAAAAAATTTTTTTTAGATCCAAAAATTGGGGTTTCCCCATGCTTAAAATAATTACAAAGTAAAGAAAAGGCTTTGGTTAAAAAGGGTGTTGAAACTGTCCTATCAATGAAAACCCTTTATGATTTGTAATAAGGTTTTTTAAAGGGGAAAGTTTTTTAAATAAAAAAAACATTTTTGGGTTTTCAAAAAATATTTTCATTATCCTTGGGAAAAACAGGGTTTACATACTTAAAATAAATTTATTTTTTTCAAATTAAAAGGGAAAAAAATTTTTATTTTGTTCCTTTTTAAAAAAATTGCATTTTAAGTGACTTTACATGTTTATATTTTTCATTTGTAAAGTTGATCTGAGTTCAATTATATTTTCAAAAGATTTGGACTGTTTAGATTGATGTTTGCCAAAGATTATATTGAAAAATGAGAATATTTTGTAATTTCTAAATACAAATGATTCTGCTTTTGTTGCCTATAGTTTCAGATTTTAATTTTTCCATTTATTATTTTTCAAGGATTATAAATTTAACTGTATCTAAATTTTTGCTATCATAACTCAATACTGCTATTATGTTTTATTAAAAATCTATTATTATTAATTTAGAGATTACTTCTTGTAATTTAATGTCAGCTTAATATAAATTAAATCTGTTGATATAACGACTTAAACCTTATATTAACTAAGGCTTATGTTTTTAACATTTTGTGTATGAAATGTTGATTTTACCCTTACACAAATTTCCGGTTTTAATGTGTCTTTTAGTTTTTTTTTTATATGCTTTATGTACAGATATTCTAGTTTTATTGAATTTGCATCTATGTGAAAAAAAAAACTTTTTCATCATGATCGTTTACATATTTAGATATATACATGTATATTACAGACGGAACATAACAGCGGACGACACTGTCCCACGGAAAACCTTCATTGGTAAAAGTCTTTAAATAAGATATCACAATATTTTTTTAACTGGAATAGAGATGAAAATCAACTGAAGTTGAAGTTACAGTAACTTAAGTTGAACGTCATTTATTATGATAAATGTTTCAAATTTGATAGAAAAACGGGTTGATTGGAAACACCTTAGACATACGTAATTACTTTTATCAAAATATTTTATCATTTACCATTTCATATCGAGCTAACTGATTACAAACACACATTCGGAAAAGAATACAGAATATGCTTAAATGTCCGTAAATATTGTCGAACTTTATTTTCACCATTTTAAGTAACCACTTTTCATTTGCTAAGTAAAGTTTAACATTCTTTTTAGATTTTTCTTTTCTAAATGGATTGTTTTTTTGTTAGAAATGTCAGGTGTTCAAGAAGGGATTGAGTTAAAGAATTCAACAGTTAAAGCGAAAGAAAATGCAGAAGAAAGTCTCTTCTTTAAAGCATAGTAAGGTGGTCATTGTTGGACCCAACTGGAAGTGGAAAAATGGAGCCTTTCTTTGAGTTGTTGTCCTCTAACGACCTTCAGCAAGGAGAATAATTTTCCTCTTATCTCTCGAAACCCAGGGCGAGTTGAATTATTATCAAGTTCTCGTTACTCCGGTTATCATAATCAAAAAAGTATGGACAGCGGTAGTTGGTACGTCAGTTTTGACAGACTGTATGCAGCGGTAAAGGCACGCCAGATAGCCGTATAACAACTATAGGGTTGAAGACGTTTCAAATGATGCCGACAAATATGCTGTCACATCCAGTCTTAGAGCATGTTGTGCGCATGCCAGGAAGTGAAGGTTTGAATGAAGGTAATCTATAAGCAATTTTTCCTCCAAATAAAGCTCAGAATTGATAGCAATATATCACTATTTTTACAATACACATCTGTCAAGATGTCTAATAACGACCAGTAAAACATTTAACAAACTTGTAGTTATTCAATATTTAGCTGTTCAGTCTTTACCGTATTTATATGATTATATTCCCGGTAATAGCAGGAAAGGTACAATGTAGATATAAAGGCTCCTTAGAACCGGAAATTTCTCTTGTGATCGGAAGCAGCGGTTGCTGGTAATACACATGCATTTTATAGGCTTTCAAGTCATGGTGATTTCGTTTATCCTCTATATTTTATACAACTCAGTTTGTCACTATCTCTCGTTAGATACATTAACATTAAAAACGTTTAAACAGTGCATCTACATTCATTATTCGAATGTACGTTTTTTTGTTGTCTTGCATTAGAGCGACACACTTACTTCTAGATGAATAGAATATATATTGAAAGATAATAAGAATGTATTATTGTATGTCAGGATGGGTCAATATCTATTGCACTATGAAGTATATTTTCTAATTTAACTCGTGATACTTGTGTTTGTGTAAATTATCCAATGCTTCAAATTATCAGCTTTCAACTGATACCAAAATCATATTGTAGTCAACCGGTTAAGAATCTTATGCACATTTATGCATTACACGAGTAACTTCATGTAAAATATTGCTGGTAAAGTGCTGAAATACGTGCTTGCATAAAAGCTCGAGTTAAACAAGAAACCCTGCTATAAATGTTTATAATGATATTTATCGCAGGGATATCAAAAAGGTAAACACGTAAGATTCTTAAGAATCATATGAAAGTTTTGGCTGACACCTCACTTGCTAACATCTAATTCGCTCAAATATAAATGAAAATGTTTCCTGAATTTGACTGTCGGCGTTATTCTAATATTCTGACTGTTTGCACATATTTACGCAATTTCGCAAGCATAACAAGATTTTGGCCAACAAAAGTGTTCTTCGACCATGCATGTATGCCAAATGACAGACAAGTGTCAAGAAATTATGTTCATTAATTTATTTCAATACATGTGTAACTGTTGTCCAAATTGCTGTTTCTAAAAGCAGTTTTGTCAGATTCAAGTGTTATTGGGATGCCTTGTTAAAGGCACATTATGGTTCAGAAACCAATAATTTATAACTTATTTAACAATAAAGAATACATTTGCTTAATAACATTTACATATTGGTTTTGCAGCATGTTAGATGTTTAACGCCAGAAAAAGTAGCACTGAATGTTGAATTTAAAAGAGGCAGAATAAAAAAAATGATTGTGTTAAGTCTTCTATACAAAATACTAAATCACTACAGCTGTACTTATTGAATAAAGCAAAAGATGGTTTAGTTAAATGTCCAATTAGTAATATTTTGGAAACTATAGCAGGACATCAAAAATAAAGAGCTTTTGTTAATACAATTTGATGATAAATGCAATCCGTTCCAAAATGGGCCTTTATAAAAAGTTGTAAACACTCAAATTAAGTTCGTCCATCGCCTATATTTTCTGCATCACAACGTCTGCACTGGAAGAAGCTACTATTATCATTTTTTTTTTCGGGAAAAACGTGTTACTGTGTCCTCATTATTGCTTTTTATGACATAAGTTGTATCCTCATTATTGCATATATAATGCGATAAATGACAGAAGTTGTATCCCCATTATTGGCAGTACATGTATAATCCGATATATTACACAAGTTGTGCTTCATTATTGCATGTATAATGCGATATATGGCACAAGATGTGTATCCTCATTATGCATGTATAATGCGATATATGACAAAAGTTGTATCCTCATTATTGCATGTATAATGCGATAAATGACACAAGATGTGTATCCTCATTATGCATGTATCGATATATATATATAACAAGTTTTATCCTCATTATGCATGTGTATCGCGATATATGGCACAAGTTGTATCCTCATTATTGCATGTATAATGCGATTATGCAAAAGTTGTATCCTCATTATTGCATGTATAATGCGATATATGACACAAGTTGTATCCTCATAATTGCATGTGTAATGCAATATATGACAGCATTTGTATCCCATTATGCATGTAGAATATCATGCGAAAAATGATAAATGACGGAAATGTAATTTTCTTTGTTTGAGAATAGCGAATAAGAAGAAAATTAATTTGCCTGAATGTAATGAGTTGACCGCTAGGTGTCGCTATCCGATAAATTTCGCACGTGCAAAAATTAATCGATTCAAATGCGTAATTCAGCTTTGGACAGTCAGACAGACCTGTACGCTTATTTTAAAATTTTAGCTAGGTTTTCATATATAGTGGACCAACATTATGTATAAATGATTTTTCATATAGATGTGACGTTATTGAGTACACTTTTTAGAAAGTAATATTGCTAGTATTTCATTTAAGTATTATGTATCAGAAATAACGATTTTTATAAAATGATTACTTGTTTTTATAAAATTGTTAAACATATAATTGTCAAATTTTACAGTATTATATACAATAATAAAGTTAATTGTTGTATTGATGTCATATTATAAGTGGTCATCTGACTGTCTAGACGCTTACTCAATACAGAATTTACTCAAATACTAGTATTGTAACTAATTATTGTTTTCTATTAAAACAGTTTGAGGTATAGTCATACTCTTATGTAAGGGAAGAAATAGTATCTAGGAAATTATATCCTCATTATTGCATTATATGACACAAGTTGTATCCTCATTATTGCATGAACAATGATATATGACACAAGTTGCATCCTGATTATTGCATGTATCATGCGGTATATAACACAAGTTTTATCCTCATTATTGCACGTATCGTACGATATACGAAGAGGGTTGTATCCTATTCTTTGCATGTATCATGGCCGGTATATAACACAGTTTTAATCCTCCAAATTATTGCACGTATCATACGATTTATGACACATGTTGTATCCTCATTATTGCATGTATAATGCGATACATGACACAAGATGTATCCTCATTATTGCATGTATCATGCGATACATGACACAAGATGTATCCGCATTATTGCATGTATCATGCGATACATGACACAAGATGTATCCGCATTATTGCATGTGTAATGCAATATATGATACAAGTTGTATCCTCATTATGCATGTATCATGCGATATATGACACAATTGGTATCCTCATTATTGCATGTATCATACGATGTATGACAAAAGTTGTATCCTTATTATTGCATGTACCATGCGATATATGACGCATGATGTATCCTTATTATTGCATGTACCATGCGATATATGACGCATGATGTATCCTTATTATTGCATGTATAATGCGATATATGACACATGTTGTATCCTCATTATTGCATGTATCATACTATATATGACACAAGTTGTGTATCCTCATTATTTCATGTATCATACGATATATGACAAAAGTTGTATCCTTATTATTGCATGAACCATGCGACATATGACACATGTTGCATCCACATTATTGCATGTATCATACTATATATGACACAAGTTGTGTATCCTCATTATTTCATGTATCATACGATAAATGACAGAAGTTGTATCCGCATTATTGCACGTATCATGTGATATATGGCAGAAGTTGTATCCTCATTATTGAATGTATCATGCGATATATGGCAGAAGTTGTATCCTCATTATTGCACGTATCATGTGATATATGGCAGAAGTTGTATCCTCATTATTGAATGTATCATGCGATATATGGCAGAAGTTGTATCCTCATTATTGAATGTATCATGCGATATATGGCAGAAGTTGTATCCTCATTATTGAATGTATCACACGATATATGGCAGAAGTTGTATCATTATTATTGCACGTATCATGTGATATATGACATGAGTTGTATCCTCATTATTGCACGTATCATGTGATATATGACAATTGAGTTTGTTCCTCTATTATTGGCATGTATCATACGATATATGATTAGAAGTTGTATCCTCATTATTGCCACGTATCGTAAGATATAATGATAAGGTTGTATTTTTTAATGCATGTATCATGGCGAATATGACATAAGTTGTATTCTCATTATTGCATGTATTCATACGATATATGACATAAGTTGTATCATCATTATTGCATATCATCTGGTATATTTGCTACAATTATAATGAAATATATGTGAATAGGAATGTGCCATAGGCTTGGTTACAGCTCAATTTGACAACATCTTTACTTAGAAACAATTTTTGAATTACATGCTGATTTATAATATCTCTATGGTGGCTATGATTTGTGCCATTCGTGTTTTTTTCCAAGCGAAAAGTCGAAAATTAACAAGGTCAAAATGGCGGGAGCGCGGAGCGAAAACTCGCAATAAGCGAGAGCGCTGGGGAAGTTTAATACGAATGGCACAAATTAGCCACATATATGACGGGATTATTAAGTGTAATTACATGTTTATATTACAGGTAGAATTGATTGTGGTGTACAGAATGATGCCACAAGGTATTATCATTTAACACTATGTACCAAGCATTTAAAAGTAAAATATCAATTAATCCGAAAAGTAGTACAGAGAAATGAAACACGGCAATCTCCTTTCAATTTACTAAATTTTGTTTATCTTTGATTATAAGCAATATTTGCAAACAGTCCATTTGCTAAATTTCCGCAAACGTTAACACCCCATACTTCAGTTACTTGACATCCCTAACTTCCGTATCTTCCGGGTGTCTTGATGAACATTAAATCTTGAAAATGTTCAACAATTGTGCATCGGACTTTTCATTAATGAACAAATTAACCAATAATTTCAATTATAAAAATGTACATGAAGCTTCCGCACGTTCACGTTAATTGATTATTTTAAGACCGGTCTTCTCATTCTTTCATAATAACAGTGGCATACATATATCAATTTCCCAAATTTAATGTAATTGTCACAAGTCTAAAGTTAAAAAACGCAATATCGCGAAAGGTTTTTAAATAAAAAAGTATATCTTAATTTCCAACAAAATAATAATAATAATACATATATTCAAAGATGGATTAGATGATATTAAGTGTCGTCATTTGTATATCTATGAAGTATTTGAAAGGTGTTTTAATTCATCAAAAACCACGGGTATGCCATGAACACCTATTTTTAAATAAAACCTTTAATTGCATTAAGCTTGGCATTTTGAATGTCTTTCACTATACATGGACATATATATCAAAGTAAACTTTATTGAATGATTTTTTGAAAATTAAATACTGTACTTTTTAGTGAAATGATTAGGTATTTTTCTATATTGTGGAAGCTTTTATTTTACAGTTCAAAGGTATTACATGAAGGAAATACCGCACGTGATGATACAAATGTTGATGAGCAGAGATTAAGGAGTGTAAAAAGTGTTCGGAACTATAAGATTAAGCACGATACACTCAAGTATGATTGTAATATTTACGATGTATCAGTTTTACCTACAGGAGATATTTTATTAGTTGACCCGGACAACAGTGGGCTTATAAAAATGAACAAAAAGTATAATGTTATCGGTACCTTATCAATACATACTGACCGTTATCTAATCAATGTGTGTCACATTGGTAATAATATTGCTGTAGTATCAGGTTATAACAAGCTGCACTTTGTTGATGTAACAGGAGATATGTCATTGATCAGATCAGTCAGCACAAGCCATGTGCTTGGATGTACTTCATTAACCTGTCATAGTGAAAAACTATATGTTGTAAGCTCTTTTTCCGTACAGGTTTATTCAGCTGATGGTGAATATATAAAACAGCTGTACACACCAGAAGACATAGATTTCATAAGTACTTATACTGACATCGCAGTGAGTAATGACGGTAGTATGATATATATCTTGAACAAAGGTAATAAGCTGACTACTATTGACAGGTCCGGTAACCATTTATTCACGTTAGATATACCTGATATTGAACAATTTGGTATTTACGGAAATCGGATATGTGTAGATGATCAAGGATTCATATTCGTATTAGGTGAAAACAGCGTTAATGTAGATGAAGATGAAGAGGACACGTCGACTATACTACAGATAAGTCCTGACGGCCAAAAGTGTTATGGGACGTTAATTGAAGTTGAAGATACTAATTATTATTCGATACGGTTTGACAGTAATAAATGTGCATTAGTCTTATCAGAAATGTCAAAAAATATTAAAGTTTTAAAGCTCCGTTAATACTTCATGCAAACTTGAAAAAATATATGTATCCAAAATGATTTTACATGTTGAAGACTACATTGTTTATGGAAAATTGTCAAACTTTCCCCTGGATACAATATTTTAACACTTATTATCTTCTCACTTCTTTGCTTCACAAAAGTTCACTTGTACCTACCACTACTTACCATATACATTTTCTTATATTTTGTACCAGTTCCTTTCTGTTTGTCCGCTAATTAATGACAACTTCACCACTTAAACATAAATAACAACAACATAATTGCATTTGTTTAAGTGTGTTAAAACATGTTTTACGCAGGAACACGTGACTCATTAGATACTTGAATTTTTATATTTTAAGTACCTTATCAGCATATACTTATATAAACAAATATGTATGGCAATCCATTTTAATAATGTTGTTATTGTTGTTTTCACATTTTGACAATATGTGAAAGAATAAGACTTTCTTACAAAACAAGATTCTAGAGTGGCATGTTGTATTCATACCACAGAAACTCGTATACTAGCTATGACAATTATGGAGCAAAAATGTCATAAAATTATTAGTCACTACACATGATTAACTAAGTTATAACATGCATTATTTTTCACACTACTTGTTTCTAAATTATAAATAAACATCTGGTGTCATAATCATGTAATGTCGTTAGCCAGGTTTTTTTCTCTGTGGCTTTGCGACGGCAGAAAAAACCTAAAAAATAATGACGAAGACACTTATATTTACATCCTTGTCACAGTTTAAGAAAATCTGATGTAACGATATCCGGGAAAATAGCATAAATGATTGGAAAAAAAGTTTGACAAGTCAGCTCACATAACATTGCACTCGCGCATATCACTTATTATGTTTTCACTCGTAGCTATGTCACTCATGAACGCATCCCTGTCGGAAAATTGGGAAAAAAATCAATAATTGTAAAACGTTACTCGTGAACATATTGCAAACTGTATTTCTCTAAAATAACTTGAACTCTTACGCAAAACGTTTGTTTTATTTCACTTACACATATGTACCGTAACCTTTACCACCCTAAAAATTTACGTGTTTTATATCTGCAAGTATCACATATGTTTTTATTGAGTGCAAGTATCATACAGGTATTTATTGAATGCATGTATCAAACATCTGATACTGAGTGCAAGTATCACACAATCATGTATTTATTGAGTGCAAGAATCAAGCGTGTTTCATTGAGAGCATGTACTACACGTGTTATTATTGAGTGCAAGTATCACACATGTATTTATTCAATGCATGTAACACACATATTTTTATTGAGTGCAAGTATCACGCGTGTTTAATTAAGAGCATGCATTACACTTGTTTTTATTGAGTGCAAGTATCACGCGTGTATTTATAGAATGCATGTTTCACACATGTTTTTATTGAGCGCAAGAATCACGCGTGTTACATTGAGAGCAAGGCCTACACGTGTTTTTATTGAGTGCAAGTATTACACATGTATGTATTGAATGCATGTATCACACATGTTTTTATTGAGTGCAAGAATCATGCGTGTTTCATTGAGAGCAAATATTACACTTGTTTTTATTGAGTGCAAGTATCACGCGTGTATTTATTGAGTGCAAGTATCACGCGTGTTTTTATTGAGTGCAAGTATCAATATGTAGTTATTGAATGCATGTATCACACATATTTTCATTGAGTGCAAGAATCACGCGTATCTTATTAAGAGCATGTATTTCACTTGTTTTTATTGAGTGCAAGTATCACGCGTGTATTTATTGAATGCATGTTTCACACGTGTTTTTATTGAGTGCAAAAATCACGCATGTTTCATTGAGAGCAAGGACTACACGTGTTTTTATTGAGTGCAAGTTTTACACATGTATTTACTGAATGCATGTATCACACATTTTTTATTGAATGGCATGAATTGCACATAATTATTTGTAATGGATGCAAGTACCATGTATGTATCTATCGAGTACAAGTATCATACCATGCTTCTATTAGACATTTGCGACATAACTCCGTGAACGATTATCGAGGAACAGTTACGCTAATATTGAGGGGTTATCTCAACACATATTATAAACACTTGAAATAAGGCCAGGATATCTTAATTACTGTGTTTCTTTCCTTACATCTTAATTTTCATTTTAGTAATTGCAAAACGAACTGATGCCAAAAAATATGATAAACAAGATCAACAAGGAAAGGCGGCGTTCAATGAACGCAAGTTCCCTAAATAAATTCGGAACTTTAATCATAAGCTCAGCCAATGGTCGTTTGCGTTGACGGCTGTATTGTCTAGTGCGTTGACGTGCATCAATAGTTTCGTCCTTTGATGATGTCAAAACGTTTGGGATTTCTTGACTACGGCAAAGGTTGTGCAGTTCACCTGGAACTGGTCCGGGACTAGGCGGGAGCGAAGCTGCTGGTCAGCTGTCAATGTTGGTCCTCATTTATACATCTGATAATATTAATCGGAGCTTGACCTAGCAATGACTGTTGCATATGAACCGCTTAATTGTCCTTGGTTTCGATGGCTGATATTTCCATAGGGACTGCACCTAACATTTTTTATCGGCACTAAATCTTTAACTCAAAAAGACGCCTTTCAAGAAGTTGTACGGCCTAAAGCTGGAAATAATTTGAAAATATTGAAATGTGAATGAGTTACTGCATTGGAGTTTTTGAACCATGTCCTGTTTTTGTTTGGGGTCCGCCTGGGCTCCTTTGCCACTGGTTCTTGTTGCTGGGTCGTGTGTGGGGTTGCCCCATTGAACGCCGACTTTCCTTGTTGATCTTGTTTATCATATTTTAACGTGATATTTATACATCTAAGCAGCAGGTGTCAAGTGCCGTATAGCAGTCGTAAAGAGGTGCCCCGTCCTTCGCTTCAGTGTTGCTATATTTTCGGGTCATTTAGGATAATTGAGTTCAGCACTTTTAAGGGTTGAGAGTTGCGTCCCGCTTAAGCCGGTGCTAGGGGCCGTAAGGGTTGTTGCACATTTTTTAATCCATCATACAACCCAATCAAACCGAGTCTGCATATTCACGATTTTAATGCTTCCGAGGGATCACTTTTTCCAGATATTTTAACACTTTTTTCAGTCATATACTGATAGTCCGTCTATTGTAGGATCTGAAGAGGTTCTCTTACCAGTGCACGATCTAATTTCCCTCATGAAACAGAGGTGGGCTATCGTTTGCCTTCAATTTATTAAACATTATTCACTGCTGTTTTAATGTTGAGCACCAAGCCAGGAGTTGTCAGGCCCATTTTCATGTATTTGGTATCACGTGGCTTGAACAAATAACCTTCGCCAGTCGAAGAAGACTGTCTACTAAAAGCCTTATGGAGAATAGAAATTATATATGGAATATTAAAAATACATCAGCATAATGCGTCAGTTTAATAGACAATGATTAATTTTATCGCAATTCACCCAGGGTTTGAAAGCTATTTTATAAAAACGATGTCAAAATATATTAAGAATTTGGTGCAGATTTAGGGTATGTAAATACTTATGTAGTTTTATCGTTTCTCTTAATCATGCTTACTTAATATCTGGTTCATTTATTTCGGTAGGATTTTTCTTCGCTTATAATCCCACGACGATTCTCACGTAAGTGGCAGAAATGTTTTTCAAATGCACACATAGATACAAGTTCTTCGAGTTACGTTAAGAGACACCCGAAACACCTCACATAATTATTTAAATAAAACATCACAAAAGGCACTGAACGAACATTATTTGAAAAGGTATAAGTGTATCGTCAGTGAAGACGGGATCCGGGCTTTAATTCCATGTTGTTTTTTTTGGAAACGATGTATATTTTGTACTCTTTCAACAAATGCGAGTACATATGGCGGTCAGGGCTATAATAATTTGATGGGACATCTCACCTAAGGTAGAGCCACAGGAATAATATTATTCAGGATAAAGACAATATCACGTAATGCAAACACCAATTATCTTTGACAATTCTGGTGTAATCCGTTACTTAGAAAAAATGTTTATTATAAAAGGTAAGATTAATTTGAGATTATCCCTCTATATCACTTGCCCTCGATCCCCAGTCCCCGTTCCTCACTATAAGCCGCAAATGTCTATTGAGAGCAAGTTTCAGCCATCATTTTTATCGAGTGCATGCAGTGAAAAGTGAATATGTAAATATATACTCTTGCTCTGATAATACATGTTATACATGTAATACATTATAATTCATCGTTGTTAAAATAAAACCTTAAATAATCCGATTCTATTTTAATATACTCTTGGTCATACTTATAACAAAATTTTCTGTCTCATGCACGTAAAATAAATTTGCTACTATCTAATTATTACATCGATTGCATCCTAAGGCATTGGCCATTAACGAATTTGTTTTTTTTTCCGAAATGACTGTTTGGTTTCTTAAAATTCTTAAATAATATGAGAGGCAATGACTTATAACAACTTCAATTTTGTGCCGTTGGTAATATCCATCAACCATTTCGTGTATTTTTCATTTACGGACAAGACTGGTTTTCTTTATGGATAAACTTAAAAACTTTAAATAACAATATTACATATGCTTGTTATATTAAAATAGTCACTGTATTTTTTTTGTATAATATCTCTTGTTGTTAACCAAATTTATTAGTGTTAAGAAATTATTGTGCATAATGTATTTTTGTATATATTGTATGTTCTGTCCTTCATAATAGGAGGAAATAAAAGAATCTATCTAACACATCTTTTTATTATCCTTGTTTTATGCATTATGATTTGCGGGATCTATCAGTATTGTATCCCACAAACTGAAGTATCTTCTATGCTTCAGTAACACATTGACCTTGCAAATAGTAAAAAAATATTATATATTGATCTGTATTGTAAAACAATGTTAGTGTAAACAGAGAATTTTGAAAACATAATAGCTCGTACAAGGTCATTTTATTAGTTTTTGTTGTGTAAAATAAAGTTTTGAGAAGTACTTTTCTTATTTATTTCATTGTACATGTATTTATGTTACATATTTTTCAGATAAAGTTTAAAACAACGAAATGCTGTTAGGGTCATCGTGTTATATACTTTATAATGCGACTGTGCGATGGCGACAAAGCAATAACGCGAATGACGACAGTAGGAAAATGCGATAATGCAATGGTACGATGACAACAGTGCGATAACGCGATGGGGACAGCGCGATAATGCGATGGCGACAATACATAGTTCGATAGTACTATCGTCGGGTTGCCGTCATCGCGTTATCGCACCGTCACCATTTTTTTTGCACTTTTGCATTGTCGTCATCGCACTGTTGTATTGTCGTCATCGCACTAACGCATTGTCGCCTCTGGATTAATATAGTATTTTATATGATAACATATGGGAAAATAATTTTACTTTTGTCAATAGATTTCTTTCTTCTTTTTGTGTCTTTTTTCTTTTTTGTATACTAAAAACGTCTAAATGAAAAATAAATTAATAAAAAGTAACATTTTATATCAAAAGATAGGGGAAATACTTAAAGAGTTATATATAACATACATGGAAATGTAATAAACTGTGTAAAACTTTTTAAAAAGTCGAAAGATTTCAGATGAAAAAATGACATTATGTTGACATAAAAGATGAAAAAATATTTAATGGTCAGTAGTTCATAGAGGATATTCAAGTTTTTCCCCATAAAAACAGGAGTTATTTCTTATCGAGTGGTATGAAACATATTTCATGAGTTGCGGTATTATTTGATACATGTTTCTCTTTTTGACATAACAATTTGAAAGACTTGCCTTACAATTGTGTATATTGGCTGAATTTAGAAGAAAGTAGCCCGGCAAGACACAAGTAAAAATACGAAAAACATGTTTCACTGCCATGAAGTATTATCTAAAAGTCCAAATATTGTTCATTGAGATAAATCTAACTGGTCAAAATTGTTCACTAAACAAATACTGCTAAATTCACTTGATTGATTTTTATTAGATTTTTAATTGGTCATCAGAGTTTTTATTGTTTTGTAAGATGTAGAATTTATTTGATGTAGAATTTATTCTATTGACTAACATTGTAAGAAAAGAAATTTACGTCTAGACATAATTTTCTCATTGTATATCTAAAATAAGTGGTCAGCAATTTTCAATTTAAGTTGAACTGGTTAGCAGGTTCAACTATACGTTTGACTGGTCTTCGGTTTTGACGTACAGTATGTTAAGTCTGCTGACCATATAGTGTAAAAAGAAAAAATGGCAAAAAAACCCAAAACACTTAAGCAATTTCTTTTATATTTTAGTTGCTCAGCAGCTTAACTAGCTGGTAGTTGGTCATTCGTTATCCAAAACTACCTACCAGCAGGTAGTCGGTAATTTGAACTTTGCATGTTTTCCCCTCAAAACAGAAAGTACTTGCCCTGAAAGAATATAATGGAAATAGAGATAGATAGATGTTTTTTCAACATTGAAACACCGTGTCTCACTATGTCCACCAATGCTGACTAGTGAAAATTGCTGAAAACTTATATTAGATATATAGACAAAATTATGTTTTGACGTAAATTTCTTTTTTTAACACTATTAGTAATACAACACATTCTATATCTAACACAGCAATAAAACCACCGATGACCAATTTCAATTTAATAGGTACATGTATTACTAAGTGGTTTATCAGTATCTATAGTGGGTTCGAATCCCGACAGGGACTTTGGATTCTTTCATGTGAGGAAGCTATCCACCTAGGTTACGGAACGTCGGTGCTTCTACTCAGGTGCCCGTTCGTGCCTGAAATATGCACGGAAGGGCACCTGAGGTCTTCCTCCACCAGTAAAGCTGGAACGTCGCGATATGCGTCGATGTGACGTAAAACCCAAAACAAACAAACAAGTTTTTTATAGTGATCAGTGCTGACAAGTTATTAATTAACTTTCTATGTATTTCTTTTTGTGTTTTACACAGACTGTTCAAATTTACATAATCATCATTATCATTTTCCATTACAAATTTTTATACATATTTTTAACATGATCTATGAATATGATTTGTAACTTGTATTTTTATATAAGTAATACCAATTATTTTTACATTTTTGCATCTTTTAAATATCAACATAACATCATTGCCATCTGAAAACTTTCGACTATATCAAATTTTACACAATTTATTACATTTTCCGTGTATTTCTCAGTCATATCTTTGGATATAAAATGTTACTTATTATTCATTGATAATTCTATTTAGACGTTTTAAGTATACAAAAGAGAAAAAGAATGAATAAAAGAAAAGGAAAAAGAGAACACCCCCACCCCCCCCCAAAAAAAGAAAGAAAATTATTTACAAATCAAAGTAAAATTGTTTTCCAATATTCTATATCGTCAGATCATTCGTGAGCAGTTTAGAGCCGCCAAATCAGACCGGAAGGCGAAAGTCGACAATGCGATAACACGATGGCGACAATACGATAGTGCGGTGACGACAGTGCGAATATGCGATAACGACAATGCGATAATGCGACAGTGCTATAACGCGATGGTGACAGTGCGATAACGCTATGGCGACAGTACGATACCGCGATGGCGACAAGTAGAAAGTATTATCGCACTATCGTTTTGTCGCCATCGCATTATTGCACTGTCGACATTGCACTGTCGTATTGTCGTCATCGCACTGTCGCCCTCTGGATTATAAAGTATAACCACGATGGTCCCCTAAATCTGCCTCCCTAAACTCCTAAGCAGCATAACTGTCTCGGAAAAAAATATCTTTTTATGCGACAATAACATTTCTTTCGTGGTGAAACAGATCGTTTGATCGCTACATTCGATAACTTGAAAACGCCACCACAATTATAGGTCAAACATAAATTTACCAACCTTACGTTTCCTGGAAACTTGAATCAAATCTTCATCCAAAATAAAAATATGACAACTCTTTACCTTAAAGGGACTCCACTGAGGTCAAACATTCTAAAAAAAATAACATTTCAATTTCTTACACCAAAGAGCTGGGGCACTTAAAAACAAGAGCACCGCTAGGCGGAGCATTATATGCCCGAAAGTACTTAAGCTGTAGGTTGATTAATGCTTGAGTTATTGAGGGAAAACTGTTTCCAGTTTGAAGGTGATACTAACCTTGATCTTTGATCTTGTTACCCCAAAATCAATAGGGGTCTTCTACCCAATATGCACAATCATCCTAAGAAGTTTGAATATTGTTGACCAAATGGAAACGGAACTTAAGTTATGCAGCGGAAACCATTTTCAGTTTAAGGATAATAGTGACCTTGACCTTTGACCTTCTGACCCCAAAATCAATAGGGGTCTTCGACCCAATATGGACAATTATCCTATGAAGTTTGAAAACTGTGGGCCAAATGGAACTTAAGTAATGCTCCTGAAACCATTTTCAGTTTAACGGTAATAGTGACCTTGACCTTTGACCTTCTGACCCCAAAATCAATATGGACAATCATCCTATGAAGGTTGAATACAGTGGGCCAAATGGAACTGAAGTTATGCTCCGGAAACCATTTTCAGTATTTAGCTAATAGCGACCTTGACCTTTGACCTTGTGACTCCAAAATCAATAGGGGTCTTTTACCTAATATGGACAATCATCCTATGAAATTTGAAAACTGTGGGCCAAATGGAACTCAAGTTATGCTCCGGAAACCATTTTCAGTTTTACGGTAAAAGTGACCCTGACCTTTGACCTTGTGACCCCAAAACCAATAGGGGTCTTCTACCCAATATGGGCAGCCATCCTATGAAGTTTGAATACTGTGGGGCAAATGGAACTGAAGTAATGCTCAAAAAACCATTTTCAGTTTAACGGTAATAGTGACCTTGACCTTTGACCTTGTGACCCCAAAATCAATAGGGGTCTTTTACCCAGTATGGACAATCATCCTAGGAAGTTTGAAAACTGTGGGCCAAATGGAACTTAAGTTATGCTCCGGAAACCATTTTCAGTTTTACGGTAATAGTGACCTTGACCTTTCACCTTGTGACCCCAAAATCAATAGGGGTCTTCTACCCAATATGGGTAATCATCTTATGAAGTTTGAATACTGTGGGCCAAATGGAACATAAGTTATGCTCCGGAAACCAAATTGCTAACAGACGGACGGACGGACGTACTTAGCAGACGTGTTTGTGGGGTTATTCCTTTGATCTCTTAACCCCACAAGAGCAAATTTTTTTAACCCCATAAGAGCATTTTTAACCACATAATACATGTCTCTACGGAATGAACCCCATACAGAGTGCCTGTACATAAACCTAAACCTCATAATGTAGCTCTCGTCTGCTCGGACAGACGGACGGACGGACGGACGGACGGATGGATGGAAGGATGGATGGAAGGACGGACGGAGGATAATCCTAAAGTCCCCTTCGGTTAAACCGGTAGGGGACTAATAAAATCAGGATCATCTGATCCTGATCTTTTCTTTGTGAACACGGGGTCAGCGCTGTCTTTTCCGAGCAAGTATTTATATGTTGCTACTTTAAGTGTTAATAAACTTTAAAGGGAC